CTGCGCGGTGAGCGGTACCGGTAGCTGGGGATGCGGGTGATGGCGGAGGACTGGAGGTAGTCCGTGGCACGAGCGCTGGCGCGCAGCTGTTTGTGCCGGTCTATGAACATGTGGACAGCCAGCACTCCCACCATCTCAGCTATAATGAAGGACAGGGCCCCGAAATAGAAGGACCAGCCGTAGGAGTAGCTGTTCTTCTTGGAGTCACTCTTGGAGGGGTCTCCAGCATTGGCTGATATGTATACGATGATGCCAATTATATTACTCAGACCTGCCAGCCGGCCAGTGGGGGAGAGAAAGGGAGATGTCAGAAGGGTCACACATGGTGGTGGTGGGGCTGTGGGGTTGACCCCCTGCCTCCAAAAGGTGGGGACGGGAGATCCCTCAGCCATCCATCCCCTCCCGCTGGGCAGCTTTCCTTGGGAAACCCAGGCAAGACCCTCCTCGCGTGCCTGCCGCGTCCCTGGACTGCAGTCCTGGCTGGTTCCTGAGAGATGGTGGGCATAGGGAAACTCACTGTCTCCAGCAGCTCCCAAGTAGCAGGAAAGCTCCTGCCTGCAAGGCATTGCTGCCTGTCTCTGCCAGGCGAGCAGGCAGGGCAGAGAGGCACCCCTGGGAGGCTGCTTTCACCCTCAATAAGGAAGCATGAACTCCTGCCTAGGCAACCACACCCCTGCAGGATGCCCTGGCTGGGAACCCCCCCCACATCTAGAAGCCCATCTCCAGAGCCTCAGGCTCTGTGCATCCCTTTACCTGCAGACACGAAGAAGATGCCAGCACTAAGGATGATGTTGTGTCGGGTTTTGTAGAACTCGCTGGCTGCAATGCAGAGTCCACCCATGAAAAGCAGAATCACACTCAGGATCGGGAAAATACTAGAGGCTCTAACAGCCCCTGTGGAGGAGAGAGAGGCAGAAAGAACAGTGCAGGTGTGAGAGAAAGGAAAAAGGGGCACGGAAACGGTGCCGCGGTGTGTGTGCGGTGCCATGTGTGTGTGCGGTGCCGTGTGTGTGCGGCGCCGTGTGTGTGTGTGGTGTGTGTGCGGTGCCGCTCGTCCCTGGGGGTGGCGCGGCTCAGTTTGGCGTCAGTCTGGACCTTCTGGGCTCGAGCCGTGTCCATCAGCTGTTGTTGGTTCTTCTCCGTGTTTCATGCTTGAAACGCTTTCCTTCTTATTTTAAGGAAAGAGTTGGTTTATCGTCTTTAGTCTTGAAATTTCAATTAAAACTTTCGTAAGTGGCTGGTGGTTTTTGGATGTACAACAATCCTCCGTTG